ATTTAAAACTTTCCTTTGAAGCTCACAGCTTCCAACTGCCAGCCACAGCACACGGTCCTTCAAACAACCAAAACAAACAAACAGACTGACAAACACAAGCTCAGCACACAGCAAGTAACCCTCAAACACAAACAAACACACACTACAGACAGTCACTTACCCCAAAAGGGTGCTGTATTGCTCCTCCTTCACCTGGAGAACTCCCTTGCGAAACTCCCTGTTAGCAGCCCCTGGTCGCAAAAGCTGTTGTTCTCACGCTGGTCCACGTTGTGCTGGGCAGCAGGTTGTTTTCTTTTTACCAGTTTCCTTATTGAAAATCTATTTCAATATAACCAAGAGGAGGAGCAGGAGTGGGACAAATGTATCATTTCAGCCTCTGCGACACCAGAAGGAAATGGGGTGAGTCGGAGGGATTCCCTCCTTCCCCATCACCGTCACTAGGCCCGCTCACTCCAGCAGCACTGGTGTCTGTCTGAGCCACAGTGGAGTTTATCCACCTGTATTCTACCCTTCCACTTCCCAAACATTATAATAGCAATTTGATCCTAAATCCAACTCGTTAGGGCTGGAGATGAAGGTGTCTCAGACCTGGATGGGGAATTCCAATGAATCCCAAACACAGTGTGATCATTCCCAGTTTAAATCCCAGTTCCTGTCTATTGACAGAACCACTTCTGGGCTTTTCCCTGCTGAGCTGGGCTCGTTTGCAGATGAGAAGGTTGGCAGTTTTTCCCTATTACAATGTTGTTTTTTTCAGGGCCGGCTCTATGTACCAGCAAAACAAGCAGGTGCTTGGGGCGGCACATTTGCAGGGAGTGGCATTCCGGACATCCTTTTTTTTTTTTTTAACTCACTTCCTCCCTTCTCGCAACACTGCAGAAGCGGAGAACCCACAGGACCCTGGGAGCTGTAGTTCCTTGCCTAGCTCCCTGCCTATAAAGCCAGCCCTGGAGCAGGGAAAGAACTACATTTCCCAGCATTCCCTTGGCAGCTATCAACAGGAAAGGGAGGGAGGTAGCTGAGCCATTCTGCAGCTTGCTGTGAATGGAGAGCTGGCTGCTAGAAGGGGGTGGCACTGTGAGTGGGGGACAAGTGTGCCCAGCCCAAGGAGTAGAAGGCTTTGCCCCAGATATCCCCTTCAGAAGACTTCCCCAGACTGGCTTAGGGATACTGGTGTGACCTCACCTTGCAGCCCGCAAAGAAGGAATTGGCTGGACTAAATGGACACTGCACCTCTCTATCTGAAGCCTAGCAAGGGAGGTATGTGGATCCCACTAGAATTTAAAATGAAAAGTAAGGGAGGGGAGGCTCTGCTAGAGGACTTGGGCAGCTTTAGATACAGTACCAGGCACATAGGAGGATTTCCACTTCCGAGCCATGGAAGCAGCAATTGACTTTTTCTTTCCAGATTTAGCTAATATTCAGAAAGGGAATCTAGCCCTCAAAATTCAGGAGTGCTCAAGCTCAATTTGGGCAGCTGTTACTTCATTTCTCTCAAATCAAATATACTGATCCACTGGAACTTGCTGTAGAAAAAGTAGGATAAAATTGAGCAAGAAATGTTTCCCAGTGATTTTTAGGACTGGAATTGCTATTTTCAACAGCCATTGCCTTTTTAGTTTTATTTGTTTAAAAGGAAGGCAGTGATATTGCATTGGCAAATTCCCCATAGAAACAAAGAGTGGAACAAAAGAATAATAAAGGCACCTCTAATTTTCCTCATTTATGTAGGACTGTCTTATAATATGCATCCAGATATCCTCCAATCACACAAGCTGAAAATTGTTCCACTTTACTGCAGTTCTGTAACCATATGGGAACCAATCCTGTCTGTGTTCTGTGCACATCCAAAATTCCTGCTGAATGACCCGCCCTGGGAGCGAGTTACCAGTGACCCAGGGCTGGGACAGCAGGAGGGTGCAGGTTGGGGGGAGAGCCCAGGGCTGGGGTGGCAGGGGGGTGCAGGGTGGGGGAGCCCAGGGCTGGGGTGGGGGGCAGCCAAAAATTTTTTTGCTTGGGGCGGCAAAAAACCTAGAGCCAGCCCTGGTTTTTTTCTAAATAACATGACTCCATAATAATGAAGTGCTGTGGAGTGAAGAAGGTTTGAATGGATCAGAGGAGAAGGCAACGGGGGAATCTGCTCTCTTGATTTCTGAGTAATCAAATGTAACCTGCTCTGGAATTTCATTTTGTATGAACAAGAAAGTGACTTATACCGCTCTGTGTTGTGGGTTTTTCCCTCTCTCCTGGAGGCTATTTGGTCACAACTGAATATTAGTTTTGTTTTCCTGGATGTAGCTCAGATTTATCAGGGACTTTGGGACAAATGACTGTTTGCTAAACAAGTACTGTCTTATTTTATTTTTGTCTTTCCCACGCCGCTGCATGATGACACGGAAGAAGCTCAAGTGCAGTTCACTCACCAGGAGAGGATGCTCCGGGCCATCGGGCGTGCTACCAAGGAAACAGTAGTGGATTTAGGGCTCCGCTCTGAAATAGTGAACAGCACACCCCAAATTGTGCAACTAACTGAAGTAACTGGGTGCGTGTGGCCTATGATTTGGGAAACGCTGTCCCTGTCTGTTGATGTGGAGAAACCAGAAGTGGCATTTTTGGTCAACTTGCGTTTGGTAGATGCTGCAACTATTCACTACAATGAAATCAGTAGCTGCACACTATCTAATTTTTAATATATTCTGCTCCTTTGGTGACTTACAAGGATTCTGCTGCAGGCGTGTTTTACTCCTGGGGGAATTCTGCACCAAAAATTAAAAATTCTGCACACAATATTTTAAAATTCGGCATATTTTATTTGTCAAAATAACACAATGTAATCATGCCAGCTTCAATTATTTTGGTAATTTATTTCATATTATCTGTCAGCAAGTATGTCTCTAACAATACAGGCCCCCCCAAAAAAAGAATCTGGTGTATTTTTTTTTTTTTTTTGACAAATAGATTCTGAAGTACACCATAACTCCAATGCTGAGGTGGGAAAAAGTGTGAGAGAAATAGTGTACAGGAGAACACAGACCCAGACGTCAGTTATTTCAAATGGAATTTGTTTTGACAAGCTCTAAAGTAAAATTACTTAAGGAGACAAGCTGTGTAACCTTGTACCCCATTAGACTGAATGGATCACTGAGTTCCCCTCTTCTCTGCAAAGCGAAGATGTACAATGTCTGTCAGGAGAAGCCCATGGTTCTTTTTATGAATGGCAATGGATGCATGAGCTAATAGGTAGTTTTTCTGTTATTTTTTATGGGAGCTGAAACCCCTTTTCCTTTTTTGAGGAAGCTCATGGTCACAGTTCAGTCTTTTAACCCTCAAGCCAGGTATGGAAACCTCCCCACAATGGTCCTTGGATTTCTTTTATTTTGGAGATCTTTGGGCTTCAAACCTCCACAGTGCATGTGGTTCGCAGCAATCAATAGTTTAAGAAAACTGCTGGGTGAAGTGGGACTCTTCCAAACTGACGATAGCCCAAAGTCTGCCTCGTGTGAAATGGATCAGGCTATGGTGTCTGTAACCAAGGCGTCCTTCACTCCTCATTTGCCTGTAGACTTCAGGCAAGTGACTGTAATGCGTGATGAGCTGGAATCCTCAACCATGAACACCAAGGTAAAGGTGGAAGCCCTTTTGCACAAGGAACCTGTCTAAGAAAGATGGACATTCCAGGACTCCCAGACTGATCCCCTCTGAGGAAGGAAGTTATAACATCAGCACCAGGCTGTGCCAGCCTTGACCTGTCTCCTCGTACCTGAGAGCTTGCGAATGTGGAGTACTGAGCCGGCGACCCCATCGCCTGGCTCCTTGACTGCAGCTCTACCTCCTACTCCATGGGAGTCTAAAGAGCTGCAGCGTTGGAATCACATGTCAATTTCAATATCTGATTGGTACTTATTCTATTTTTCAGACTTTGTTTTTGTCAACTGGGTGTCATCCCAGCCTTCCTATTCTACTCCGGTGGTACAGTGGGGCTCAGTGCGTGCACGTGTGCATGAAACCTGTCACATCCACACAACAAAGGAGCTAAAACGAATAATTCTCAAGTATAAATAACCCTAAAATGCTGCCCTACGAAGTGATTGAACATGTGCTCCTCGTTCTGTGAAAGAGGTCAAAGAACCTGAGCTGTCAGATACATACCGTTAAAAATCTGCGTATTAAGGTTTTTATCTGTGGAAGCCACTGGGAGAAGGTTAGCCATACACTGGTGAGATCTAAGGCGGGAGCTCTGAAGTTGTGGCTTAAATATGAACAATAAATTGGTGTTAGTGTTAATATATTCAAGCGGCTGAGTGTGGATCACATGGCCTGGGTGAAGTTCTCTGACTGGGATTAATAACTAAAGGGACAGCTGCTTCCTCGGTTCCTGTTTCAGGATTTATAAGGGCTGATTTTCTGCTGTATAATTCTGATGATTTGATTCCAAAGCAAGATAATTGTTAACCGAGTGATTTCCTGATCTGACCTGAACGAGCTCATTGTACTGTGTGCCCCAGAGCTAGCTGGGTGGTGTTACTAATAGTTTAGGTTTAGTTAGATGTGGTATTCATTTTATTTGTTTGTTCATTTTAATGAAATGGATAGAAGGGCTATTGAGTCATTTCTTCCAATAAGCTACATGGGCCAGAACCGTAGAGATCAGCCGGCCCTACTCGGAGCCTTATTAACTCCCTCAATATTAACTCTTAGGTTCTCATATGGGTCCAGCTGGGGGGGGGGGGGCACACCCATCTCAGCTCTTGCTACATCCTAGGGGGCTCACACAAGGGAAAATGAGCTCCCCAGTGCAGGCTTTCAGGAGTAGTGGGGGTGGGCCAGGGGCAATGTGTCTGTCTGCCTGATGAGGGGTTGGTGGAAGGGGGTATCTCAGCCAGTGGCAGCAGTGGCTCCATCCCACCCCCTCCACTCCACATCGGTGCCCAGAGCAGGGTTCTTCTGCTCAGCCCAAGTTAGGGGCATTTCACATGCCCCTCCCTGCTGAGGTGCCCGTGAGGGCACAGGAGCTTCAGGGAGACACTGATGCTGAGAGTCTCCCTGGGCCAGGGCTGGCCCAGAGCCCTGTGATCCCCACTCCTGTGGCCCCAGCCCCCCAGGAGCTGGCGAGATGGGCTGCCCTGGCCTGCCTGCCATGGGGCTGGAAGGTTCCTCCCAGAGGTGACACGTGGGGAGCTCATGTTCCCCACCCCTTTTACATTGTGCCCCTTCAGTATCAGCAGGTACAAATTGTCTCTGCTGGGAGGGGCAGACTGTCCCTGGTGCAGTGTATATGTGCACCCTGACCTGTCGCGGTGGGCAGGGAGTGTGCTGTTACCGCAGTTACAGCCTACCAAATTCTACTGGGTCTCGCCACGATGAGATTCAGGGGTCGGGGACGCATGGCAGCCCTCAGGTACAGGGCAGCGCAGTCTAGAGGCCAGAGTCAGTACTGTGGCCCTTGCATTCAGGACAGCGTGGCCTAGCGACAGAGTCCATGTAGCAGCCTTCAGGGCAGCGCAGCCTAGCAGCCAATACTCGGGGGCCGTCACTGGGGGAGGGGGCAGTGGCCCAGGTATGGGGGCCTGGGCCCACCCGACTCCACCAGGCCCTGATCAAGGGCTCTAACAGTGATGGAGTGGTCTGCCACTGGGTCAGCAGAGAATCCCACCAAAACATGCTGGCCTCACACGGTGGGAGATACCACTCGCTCACCCGCCTAGCGTCACCTCCTACTGAGCTTCCTGAAGCTGCAGTCCATGAGGCATCCAGGTAACTCCCTGGGACCCCGATGGCAACAGAGCTCCAGTCTGGATCTCCAGCTAGACGACACCTCAGCTGGAGCTTTTCCCCCAAAGGTCCTTCCCCTCCAGCGGTCAGCCCAGACTGAGCCAGGCTGCTCCCTTTTTATACTAGCACAGCACTTGGAGCATGCCCAGTACGGTCTGAGGTGCGGGAATTCCTCTGCCCGCGGTGTGGGGTGTGTACACGCCGTCACATACCCCCACGGTCACATTATTGGGGGGGGTCCTGACTCCCCAGCAGACGACCGCTCTCCCTCTCCTGCCCCTGGAGGGAGGGGAAACCCTTTACCCATGTCTCCAGCTCCCTTCCTTCCTCAGCTGCAGGAGGTTTCCATATTGTGTTAAAAACACTGCGTGGCAGTTCTGGCCAGTGGGTGGTTGGAGCTGGCTGTGCTGGCTGCAGGGTCCCGCTGTAACCTCGCTGTCACCGTTCAGGGCAACTGCACCTGGATTCCCCCACCGTGGTCACCCAGTGACACCCACCCTTAGGCTTCCCAGCCATCTTGGGTGGAGACGTCTCTCTCCCTTTCCTGAACAGCGTATTTCCAGGCTACACCAACCCTGTTTGCAATGTAATATCCCTCAGCAAGTCCTAAACGGCCAGTGCCCGCCCTTTGCTGTCTCTACAGTGTCTAAGAGCAGTGTCACTGCCAACAGTTATACCCCCCCTGCTCTTTGGTGCAGGCACGTTTATTCGTCAGGGGAAAGCATTGCCCAGAAACATTAAAAACAAGGAAAGAACCAGAGATCACCCAAACTCCAGCAAGGGCTCTGGTTGGGGATTTGTCCTTCAAACCCCACCACAGCTTTTTCTGTCATCACAACAGCCTTTGCTCAGCACAAGCCCTCACCCCGTTAATCTGTAAATCTCTCCTTTATGGGGTTTGGGGTTCTGTGATCTGGGAATGGAATCACAGGGTCACCAAAGCACAAACCTGTCTGGGGGGGAGGGGGTCAAACAGCACATTCTGCCCCAGCCTGACTCTGATTCCCCCAATCCCATGAGGCTTGCCTGCACAGGTTCAAATCCTGCTCACAGCAAAGGGCCAAGCACCAGTCCCATGAATGGGCAATGGGGGGTTGTGCTCCTAGGTCACCTTGGTGCGTCTCAAAATCCCACCTCCTGAGCTTCTCCGAATGATGGTCAATGACGAAGGAGAAGGGGAGGGGGGATCCCGGAGAGAAAGATCCACATCAACAGAGATGCACTGTCCTAGGGCTGGGGGTTCCACGACCACCACTCCCAAGAGAAGGAGGCGGGTAATGGTGGTTGGGGACTCCCTCCTCAGGGGGACTGAGTCATCTATCTGCCGTCCCGACCGGGAAAACCGAGAAGTGTGCTGCTTGCCAGGAGCTAGGATTCATGATGTGACGGAGAGA